TTGGCAGCCTGGGGGCAGGAGACCCAGGAAGTGAATGGGCACTGGGCTGGGCGGGAGTGGCAGCTACTGGCCCAAGCACTGGTGGCCCGCATGCGTGGCAGGGCCACTCCCCACAGTTGACCCAGCCCTGCCCAGCCAGCCACACCTCCAGCGCTGTCACGCCACCACCCACCTCCCAGCCACACCCCACCCAGCCAGCCTGCCCTGCCCACCGAGCAGCACGCAGCGCAGCTAGGAAAACCCTGCACATTAGCTCCCCAGCTCTGCCGGACTTTCTCCAGTGTAGTCACGCCCCGGGAGGCGGCGACCAGAAGCAAATCCCTGCCTCCCGGGAACTTGCTGCCCTCCCACTCCACTCCCAGCCAGTTCCCTCCCCCACAGTGCTGCCCGTACAGGGGCAAGCCGCTGCCTGTCAGTCAACCCGGGTAGGCTCAGCCACCCCCACCAGGGGACTCTCAGAGATCTGGTTTGGAGTTGCAGTGAGCAGATGGGGACATGGGTCCAGAGAGGGCAAAGGACCTGCTGGGTCACTCTGACCAGGCCCGCCCCACCAGCAACTGCCTGGTCCACACTCAGGCCTTGGAAAGGATTCCTGCTCTTAACACAGTCGCCTCTCGCTTCCACACAACTGCCCCCACCCCCTTCATCCTCCTCCAAGGCCAGCCCCAGCCTGGAGGGGCGCTGGGCTCTGCACCCATCATGCAAGCTGAGCTCTGCAGCTTTGGGCTCCCACCACCATCCCTGGGAGTTCTCCAAGGCCGGCCCCTCGTCCCTCTGCCCCTTCTCCATCTCCAAGTGCATTCACGACTGGACCCCTACTTCCTACACTCGGTGTGCCTGTCCTTGTGATAGCCATCACCTATCACACCCCTCGATGTCTGGATGAGGGCGAGGAGGCCCTGAGAGGGTGGGCGTGTGCCTGGCGCTGGTCCCAGGTCCCATGACTGGGAGCTGGGTGCTTCCTCCTGAGTTGCCCGACTCCTTCCTCTGTGACTGCCTCCCATGGTCACAGCCAGGTGTCCCTGTGGTTTCGTTTGCATCCCGCCAGCCTCCGTGGAAGCTGACCGTATACCGCCCAGACATCGGCAAAAGCAAACAAAGCAGAGAGTGCTGCTTCAGGGGATCCCTTCTGGGCACCGACCATGTCAGGGGACCTCGGGCCACACACCCTGCTTGCTGGAAACTAATTCTGATTCCAACAGAGGCTGAGTGGAGTGTTACCTTTGATCCAGCTCTGGAGAAAGGCTTTACTGAGCATACACACACAGGAGTGTGCAGCATGGCCCAGGTCAGGACCCACTGCCCTCTGACCCCACCACAGCCTCCACAGACCCAGGACAGAGGACTGAGGTTTCCCCAAACAGGGCCCACTCCCTGTCCACCCTCCCGAATCTGCCTGGGACAGAGTCAAACCCAGTACCAATGGAGGCTGGGTGTTAGGAGGGCGCAGCCTTTTCTTACAGAGCCCTGACCTCCCTCACTGACAGCTAGAACTGACTGAGCTCCTGCCACTCGCTGGACGTGCCGGGGCTTTGCTCGTTCAGGGCGCCCAGTCCTCACAACAGGTGGGGGGGGATGCCGGGCACTGCTTCAGGCAGAGGACGGGCCATCCATTAGAAGGTGGGCGCATGCACGCAGAGGCAGAGCTAAGGCAAGCCACTTCAGAGCACTGCTCACTCCTGCATGTTCTCTGCCCAGCACCCCCCTCCAGTCTAGGGACCCAGAGCACACCAGGGGGAGAGCGCCACCTCCAAGTGCCCACTCAGGGCTGCCTGAGGCCTGCCAGGAAGCCGCCTGGGTGCAGGCTGACCCAGTTTCTACAGCCTCCTGGGAGAGTGGCACAGTGGGGCACCAGGGGGTCCCCTGAAAGTCAGCACCTCCACCAGAGGGTTCTCACGCTCCTCCATGCCACAGGGTCTCTGTCTCTCCCGCCCCCATCGGGAAGAGGAGCAAGAGTGGGCTGGGGCCAGGGGCAGGAGCTCACCAACAGGACAGCCCATGGAGAGCGGTGGCCACCTGCCTCCCAGGCTCCCTGTGCCAGGCTGATAGCAGACCCTCACTCATCACCTGTTCTTCCTCTGCTGGGGGACTGGAAGATGCTGGCCACCCTAGCGCCCACCCTCCCACACAGCCATTCCTCGCCAACGCAGAGGCAGGCATGTCCCGGGTCACGTCCCTGAACTGGGTCCCCAGCCCACGAGGCACAGAGCAGGTGACGCTGCCAGGAGAGGGAAACGGAGACATGGGCTCGGCCCCTGCCAGCATCTCCACTCAGCCCCTTCCCTCCGCTGGGCTGCTGTGTCCTGCCCAAGGAGGGGTCTGTGATTCTGTGATGAGGGGGGGCACGTGAGGAACGTAGCGAAGGCCATGGTGTGGGCTCTTCCCTCGACATATGTCACATACAGCGTAAGCTCAGGAAGGTGTTGGCCTCTCCCCTGGCGAAAGCCGAGTGAAGAACCCAGGAACAATGACTCGGCCCCTCTGACCTTCCTGGTCTCGACCAGGCCTAAGCTAGGCACCATCTGAGCACCCACCCCAGCTTGCCCCTCAGCCCAGCGGTAAAGCGTGAACTCCCACACCTGTGGGCTGCGGGTGGCTCTGGGGCCTTTCCTCGCTAGGAGGAAGAGCCATAGAAGCTGAGCCTTCCTCCCCTCCCCCTGGCCCTCCTCCACTGGGGATCTGCCAGTCAGCCTGGGGCCATCTTCCTGGGGCACCCATCTGGGACACCTGATGAACTGCTTCAGATCCTGAATGTAGACAAGGCCCAGCATCAGGCCTGGGCCCAGTGCACTCCTGGCCTTACCTCTCAGGAGCCCCCCTAGGATTTGCACACTGGTGCACGCATGCACACACACATACACACATTCAGGCAGGCGGGGGAGGCCTGAACACGAGGAAGGGGACTGGGGCCAGGGCCAGGCTGGGGTGCGGACAAGATCAGGACCCACCAGAGCTCCAGGCAGCAGCCACTCAGCTCCGCTCGGCCCTGCTCCTCTTCACTGGAGCTGCGTCCTTGCTGCGGCTCCAAGCTCCTCGCTTAGCACGGCTGCACCTAATCCCAGAGCCAGGACAAATGGCATTACTGTGTGCCCAGTCCCCACCCCGGGAGGAGGGAAGGAAGGAAAGAGGGAGGTGGCCCTAGGACACCCTGACCAGCCAACCACATTCTCCCAGGCGTCCGGCCCCAACCCTTGCCACCTGGCCTCTGGGCCTGAGGAAGGGGAAGCCCTGTCCGGGTGTTGCCCCTGTCAGACCCCCGCCCAGCAGCAGGGGTCCGCCCGGAGAAAGCATGTCCCGACCCTCATGCCGATGGGCCCTCCAGTACCTCCCTCTCAGGAAAGGCACAGCCAGGGTGACAGGAGCCTTTGCAGGCAGCGGGAACCACCCGGTCCTGGTTCCAGCGCTGCAGGCAGCTCCCCATGTCCCAGGGGGACCCGTCCCTGCTCTAGGCCTCAGTTTCCCCACCTGGCCTGAAAAGGAGGAGAACTGAGAGGCCCTGTTAGGGCTGGCTGGGGACCTCCACCTGTGTGAGCTTGGCTCTGGCCCCTGCCTCCACCCCAGCCTAACTGCCAGACCTTCCCCCTGCTCCACCTCCTGCTGGAAGAGTGGTGACTGACAGGTGTGAAGGGGCTGGGCTCTGTGCCAGGCTGCTGAAAGCCTGGAGCTGAAGAGAAACGGATGCAGCCAAGGCCCAGCGAGGGGCACCCCCCCATCCCCCCAGTGCCACCCAGTAAGCCACCGGACCTGCACTCCGAGTCCCTGCTTGGCCATGCACCTCAAGGCTGGAGGTGCATGTCTACCCAGACTCGCCTCAGAAGAGACACCTGCCGATCTGCTTCCAAAAGTACTGGCCACCGAAAGGCCCTGGCACTGCCCTGAGATCACCTTCGAAATGTGGCCCACGTGTGAACTACATGCCAAGAAAGCGGCTAAGTACAACTGAAAGCTCTTTGAGGAGCCCGTAGCACAGTGGCTACATGGTGGGCCGCTGTCCACAGGTCAGCAGTTTAAAGCCGCTGGCCGCTCCCAAGGAGAAAGACAAGGCTTCCAACTTCTGTAAAGAGTTCTTCTCAAAACCCACAGGGGCAGTTCTACCTCGTTCTAGAACAGCAGTTCTCAACCTGGGGGTCGAACAACCCTTGGGGCCGCCCGATTCATAACAGTAGCAAATGACAGTGATGAAGTAACAACGGAAATAATTTTATGGTTGGAGGGGGGGGTGTCACCACAACGTGAGGAACTGTATGAAAGGGCCGTGGCATTAGTAAGGTTGAGAACCACTGTCCTATGAGGTCGCTAGGAGTCAGATTCAACTTCCTGGCATTAAGTTTGGGATTTGGCCCACTCATTGAAGGAAAAGAATTCAAACTGAGACCAAAAATACTCTCCGAAATCTTCAAATGAAGGGTGACACTGGATGTCTCTTGGGGCAGCACTGGAACTTTCTTAGGGACTACCCACATGGAGTCACACTGCAAGAGCAGCCAGGGGCCTTGGGGGGCTGCGGGGAAGTGTGTATCAGCAGGGGAGGAGCAGCCCAGAGGCGGGGCGGGCAGGTAGCTGCCCAACTCAGAGGCAAGGCCCGTGCAGAAACTGTCGGCCTCGTAAGACCTGCGGGTGTGCATTCTCAACAAAGCAATGAGATTGAATCATGAGCAGAAAACCCTCCGGCGTTTTCTGCCCTGACACCGAGGATGGACGCCACGGTCAAAGTCGCTTTGCCACGGCGCCGGCTCCCCCTCCCGCAGCAAACTCTTCAAGTGTGTCCCTCTGAAGAGGAGCTGGCCTTCTTACGAGACGGCAGGGAGGGCACAGACCACTTGCTCCTGGTTGACTCTCAGGCCCCACTGGCAGCAGCAGTCACAAAGATTGGGGGGGGGGGTGTTGGATATGGAAACTGGGCAGGCTTTCCAGGGCCCTCACATCGCACCACAAGGGTGGTCTAGGATCCCACCCATGGCCAGCAAATGTGAGGAGCCCCTGCCAGGGATTAGCAGCCTGGGCCACTCTTAAGAAGTCACCTGAGGCTCAGCCAGCAGGTCCAGGGCAGCAATGGGGAGAAAGGCCCAGATGGACTGTGTGTCCATCACAGTCATCCTGGAAGACACCAGACATGGGGGTTGGGGGAGAAGCGCGCACTACTGAAAAGCCTCCAGGCCTGTGGCCAGAACAGAGGGGAGAGCCAGGTGGGCTGGGGTGAGAGGAAGCAAAAGGTTCTGAGGCATTTGGAGTAGCAGGAACCCCCTAATCTCCCAGAGGCCTGCTGGGTACAGCAGGGGGCCTGCTGAGACCAGGAGGCCCCACATGAAAGAAGCCTTGTCCTGGCAGACACGCCGGGGCTTGTCACCAAGGCTGGAGCCCGCTGGTGTGAGGGGGCTCAACACGTGTACACGGAGGCTTACAGGGGGAGGCGCAGCTGGCCAGGGGAGGGGGCTGAGGGCCTTGCTTTCCCTGTATCACAGCCGGCTAGAGAGCAGGGACACAGGCCATAAAGCGCCTGGTGACCTGCTTATGGAGAGCTCCTTAAAAGAGGCCCCAGGCACCCAGGTGCATGCTCGGGCTGTACAGGGGCGGGTCTGGCACCTGCAAGGGTGACCCTCCTCCCGCTGGCTGCCTGGGCGCCTCGCCTGAGCGTGGCCTGCACTGGTGCACCCGTGCCTTTGGCCGGCCCTGCTCTGTCCAACGCCCATGATTCCAGTGAGCCCCAACCCTGAGCGGGGTGATTCTGCAGGAATCCTCTCCACGGCCCAACCCCAGAAGCGGCTTCCCAGAGATCACTGTGCCCCTGGGCCGAAGCCCCTGATGGCACTGCTACTACCACCATGCAGCTTTGGCCACGTGCTCAACCTCCCTCTGTACATGTGCAGACTACGGTGCATGGTAGGGAGTTGGCTGGCCCACGCTCCCGGTTGGGAAGTATTTAAGCTGAGGTTCAAAGAAATGTCTGTCTGGCTCAGAGTCCCCACATTCCATGGCATGGGGACGGGTAACTCAAAACCCGCCAGGCCTGGGAGACAACTGTGGATCTGCTCACAGCTCACACTCAAGTGTTTTCAAGTACATCATGCTGGGCCAGGGCTGGGCTGGCTGCCGGGCGACAGGGTGCGGGGTCAAGGGCACTCCGTGTGGAGTCCCGGCGGCATTCCGTGTGGAGTTCCTGCATTCCGAAGATCCACCAGCCTCCAGCCAAGCCCACTGTCCCCGGCTGCGGTCACAGGCTGTCGCCTTCCTCAGCAGCCGACTGAGCATGTCTGAAGCATGCCGGCCGGAGGCAGAGCTCCTCCACAGGTGATTCCTTGTGCCACACGGCCGCTTTACAGGAGCCGGGTGTCCCAGAAAGGACCTCTTCCCCTCGGGGTTCCCAGGGGATTCGTGACTCCCCAAAAGAACGCAGTGAGCCAGTGTTGGAGAGAGAACTGGCAACACAAGCCTCCCGCCTGCCTCCCTGCCCTGCCCTGGACTTTCCCCTTCAAACTTGAGGGCCTTCTTAATAATGACGGCAATTCCCAAGAGCTTACTATCCAACAGTAACTGCGCCCCTGCCCTGCACAAGTCACTCCCTCGCTCCTCATCACGCAGTCCCTGTGCATCGGGCATTGCTAACTGGTGGGTAAGAAGCCCTGGCAGTGGGTAAGTGCTGGGCTGCCAACCCAAAGGCTGCCGGTTTAAGTCCGCCTGCTGCTCTGCAGCAGCAAAATGAGGCAGTCTGCTCCCTCCCTCCTTCACAATCTCAGAAACCCTATGGAGCAGTTCTATCGGGTTGCTCTGAGCCAGAACTACCCAACAGTGGAGGTTGGGGCGAGGGGCGTTTGCACACCGTTCTCCTTCCCCATACATAGTGTGTGGAAGCCCTTGGGTGATACAGAGTGACTGCGCTCAGCTGCCAACGGAAAGGTTGGAAGCTCAAGCCCACTTACAGGGCACCTTGGGAAAGAGGCCTGGTGATCTACTTCCCAAAATAATCAATCCCAGGAAACCCTATGGCGTCCGGAGCCAAGCTCTACTATGAAAGGCAGGGTTGCCACGGGTTAGAAATGGGCCAGCAGCACTGGTGTGTGTGTGTCTTTCTATCTGTCTCTATTGCTATCTCTCTCTCTGTTGTCCCTGTCATTGGTAGTTCAGCTGCAGAATCTTCGCCTGCCGTATGGAGACCTGGGTTTGATTCCCAGCCAGTGCACCTCGTTCACGGTCTCCCCTCCTTTGTCAGTGGAGGCTTGTGTGTTTCTAGGATGGAGAACAGACTTCGGTGAAGCTTCCAGACTAAGCCTGGAAAGTTCATTCTGACCATGGACTTGCAAAACCCAGTCCTCAAAAGCCCCAAGGATCACAATGACCTGACGGGGGTGGGGCTCCCCCAGTGCTCACAGTCGCGGCTGCCCATAGGCAGCTAGCCACAACTGCTTTCATGTGACAGCAAGGCCCAGAAACACCAAGGACCTTGCCCGAGGTCATCGTGCTAGAAAGTGGCTATCCTGGCTCCCCTGGGGCCCGAGCCTGCCAGCCGGCCGGCACCCCACACTACCCAACTCTGTCTGCAGAATGAACCACAAGTGTTCTCTCTGGAGGGGGACAGGAGACCAGAGGCACTCCAGCAGTGTGTACACGGCCGGCCGGCGGGCACTGATAGCAAAAGGCCAAACAAAGCTCTTGGGAGCCCACGAGAGGGAGGCTGTCACAATCACCCGGCGATGGCCAGGAGTCTGAGTGAGGGACGCGGGGACAGAGGGAGGTGGTAGATACAAAGGAAGCAGCCCATGAGACCTTGGTCAAGCCCTGCTCACTCTAGACCTCAGTTTACTCAGCTGTGAAAAAGACAAAAAACAAAAAAAACCAGGTCTCCAGAGTCCGTGTCATTGCTAAAGATCCTTGCACTCTGGAAAAACAGGCCAGGCTTGGCGACTGCCTGGCGGCATGCCTGGGAAACTAAAATGTCCTTGGCCATCCTGGCCCGGCCTGGCGACTGGAAAACAGGCCTGCGGGAGCACAGGCCCAGCCTGCATGCCAGGGCGCCGCTGAAGTGTGGGTCCTGAAGGGATCACATTCCACCCATTG